AGAAACCTCCTGACATGCTGGACTACAGCTCTGGTAATCCTCCAGCCAGGAGCTTGGTGACAAGCAGAGGCCTTCCATGTCTGCAGTGTAAGATTTCTCTGGGGGCTTTTGCCTGGGATGAACGTGCTCTGTCTTTGCGCTGCAGACCTGGAGCAACGTGGTGTTTGCCAGGAAAAGAGGTTGGGTTGACACAGTGGGTCAGATTTTTAAAAGGAACCTTTCTCTTGCCTCTCTCGGTGTTACAGGCTGTGGGAGACCTGGCACCTTTGTCCCAGGTTGAAGCATCCTGCTGAGGGAGCAGGAATGGCCACCGCCGAGGCGACTCAGGTAGGAAGTGGATCTTAGCACTGTTTGGAGCAAGGACATCCTACAGCTGTTACTGTTCCCCTGCCAGTCGTGCCCATGTACCTGTGCAGGATGAGCACTCCACTGGGGAGAACAGGGGAGAGCTCTTTCCCCCAGCTGTAGTCCTGATCTGAATCAGTCTGCACCCCACACCTGTTGTTTGTATCAGATGGAAAGCTCCCATTGGCTCCAAATGCACTTAAATTGAGTAACCTGAGCTGTGGTTCTATGCCTATTGAGGACCCCCCCCCCGCCCCCGGCAAGTATCTCTACAGCCAGCCGGGCTGGTCTTTGTGTGCTAGGAATAGCAGGACTTCTCTCTGTCTCAACATGCAAGGGGTTGTGGCCCCAAGAGCGTGGTCCTGTGCAGGTCTACTCAGACGTCCTTCCCATGGCCTCGCATGGGCCTTACTCCCGAGTCAGTGAGGAGAGCATTGCCAGCTCGGAGGGGAACCGCTGCTGGCATGGCTCTGGGATGCACTGAGCCCTGCGTCCTGGGGGTGGGGCAGGGGCCACTGAACCTACACCCTGCAGGCATCCAGGTGGGGTTGCTGTGAAAGCAGTGCTGCGGAGTTGGGGACGTTCTTGTTTTCAGGAGCTGGACACACCCGAGGAGGAAGACAAAGAAGGGGAGCAAACACTGGGTTTGGCTGATCCTGATCAAGGGTCCTCCAAGAACCAGGGAGGAAGGGAGGAAGAGGACTGTGCAGCTTCTCCAGGTGAGGATCCAGTTACGAGCATTTGTATTTGAGGTGCTGCATAGTCACTCACCAGGCTACGGGGGTTCTCCCTCAAACTCTTTCATTCCGGGTTTCCCCAGCCTCTGATTTAGCATGAACAGGACTTTTGCCTCAGCACTTTGTTTCCTGGGAGAGCCAGATGCAAATCAGTAGAAGGAAAGTGGCAGTTATGACCGGCTCTCCTTTCTTGGAGCTAGAGAAATGCACAATCGGTAATACCATTTTCAGTGGCATCTTTTAATTTCTCTGAGGTTGTTATAGTTGTTCACATTAAACCTTTGGTTCTGCTGTTTGCAATAATTTTACAATAGAAACAGTGGACTCTGTTTTTTTACAGTGGAAACAGTGGATTCTGAAATCAGGCACTGTCTCCAGAGTAGATCAGAAATCTGGACTGGTTTTGTTTCCCATGGAATCCTTGCTTGAGCTGGGAGTTTTGTCTTTGGTCTCATCCAAGCTCCTCCTCTGCTGTTACATCTGGTCTGCCCAAGGAAACATATCCATCAGGAGCAGGGAACCAACATTGGCTGAGGGGGCCAATTATGCACAGGGAAACCCTGCCGTGATCACAGACTGGTGATAAGAGCAAGGCTGCTGCAAAGACAGTTCTAGAAATGAACATTTGCACTTGCTCCCGATTGCTCCAAGAATCACTAACTTCACATCATGCTAATGCGAGGGCTTGCTGGCAGACGGCTCGTACTGGGCCCTGCCCTCCGCTCTGGCAAGCCTTCTCAGCAACCAAAGGCATGATGATTCTTGAATTGCAGTCTCTGGTGGATCCCTCCATAAGACTGCCATGCAGGGGCAGAGCAAAAAATGAGCCGCCCACTTCCCACGCCTTCCTTCCGAGGGGAGGATTTGCATCTGGGTTGTTATTTGAGCACAGCTCTTGTGAAAGGTCTGCTTCTTAGAATAAGAAGTTCATGCTTTTGTGAAAGTCCAGAGGATCCGCTGTTGGGCTGAAGGGAGTAATAAGATAAGGTTGCCCTCTTTTCCTACCAGCATCCTGTGCCTCTAAACAGGAGTGGTGTTAGGTGACAAAAAGATCTGGGGCTCAGACCTGGAGGACCAAAAAACAAAACAAAACCCACAGATCTGCATATCCTGGTTTAAATATGTTCCAAACCTGTGTGTGTCTTTAGAGAACCTTGTCTCCTCAGGACACCCTTTCTGTAAAAATGGTGTATGAACAAGAGAGAGGAGGGCATTTGATTTCAGAAAAATACTTCCTGCAACAAGAGTCAAGGGTCGGGCCAGCATGATGGGGGCAAAGTTCAGAGGAATCTGATGCAACAGGGGTGATCAAAGCTCCTGCAACTTTATGGGCAGCTGGGTAGTGGGGCAGAAAGCCTCCCAGAGATTTCAGGCTCCGGATGGAAAACTCGGGGCTCCAAACACAGTGAGATGCTGCCTAATGCTGCTTCTGCCTCCAAAGTCTGAAGAGCAAGTGGAAATTCAGCTTAGGATCCCTTTTCCCATCACAGGGATGCCAGATGAGAAGAGCTCCATCAGTTGAATTCCTGCCTGCCATGCAAATGTTGCAGGAGCCCTGCCAAGATAAAATGGTGGCAGCCCAGCTGCCTTTATCGCCCCCTCTTAGAAACAAATTCTGGTATTTTGTCTAACAGGAGATTCTGTCTATCAAAAACAGGAGTTCCAAGTTCTGCTGGGACACCCCAACCAGAAAGGGGAGAAACGCCCTGGGGACTGTCTCTCCAGTGCACAGACGAAGCAGAGAACCCCCCGGGCGGCACCAGTCCAGAGGAGGCAAGCAGCTGGGACTCGCGGGAAGTCTTTGTGAGCACCCCTTGCTCAGTGTCATCTCACCCAGGTCAGGAACAGACCCAGAAGTGCTGGACTGCAGGAGCACAGCCTAGGCTTCTCCCTTTAAATATTTGCACAGGGATCTAACTGAAATAGCTGGAAAGGGAGAGTAGACACATTTATGCAGGGTTTCAGAATGGGCTTGACCAGAAGGATAGTGAGGATGTTATCAAGGTTCAACAGGTGGTCCCATGAACTTCCCACTGTCTAAAAGCCAAGTTAGCGCTTGGAACCATGCCGAAGTCTTGCGGCTTTCAGCTTGTTAGGAAGAGCACCAGAGAATGGAGCTGCCTTCCCTGATCATTCTGTAAATGGGGCTGATTTTGCTGTGACAACAAAACTGTTTGCCTAACTGAAGCCTGCAGGGGAGCCTTGCTCCCAGGTAGGGAGATGCAGCGCTTTTGTGTACCCTGACAAACTCTGCAATAGTGGGAGGGAGGAAGGCCATAAAATCCGCAGTGAGAGGCGCTGTCTTTCATTCTCACTTTGGGGCAGGCACTGGACCACTGAATACCACCTGCAGGCATAGGTGGTCTGTGCCCACCATACAGACTTGCCATCGTGAGGACACTGGCCCACTGTTCATTCAACAGGTGTAGCACTGGCACTGAAGCACAGGGCAACCGCTACATCAACCAGCGGGCAGCTCCAGGTCCAAGGAGCACCATCCTCACAAGAGGGAAGTGAATGATTGCTAGCACAAATGGCAGCGGGCAGAAGGCAGGAGCAAACAGCTCCCCAAGTGAGCACTTGGGAGGTTTTCTAGCACCTCCATTTCCCTCCCTCTCAGTTCCATTTTGCCTTTCTATCTCTCTGTTGTGCTTATATCCCTCCTTTCTTTCTCCATGGAACCCAAGGTGGCTCAACTAATCCTTTTCCTCCTCCTCCTTCTCCACCTCTGTTTCATCCTCACAATAACCCTGCGTGGTAGGTCAGGTTGAGAGTCCGTGACTGGTCCACAATCACCCAGTGGGCTTTGTGGACAAATGGAGAGTAGAACTCAGATCTCCTACATCCCAGTCCAAATTCTCACCACTACACTACACTACACTACACACTACACTACACTACACTAGGTCTCCCTTTGTTTATCCAAGCTGGCAAGGATACATTGCAAACTTGCTTTGTGTCTTTCCCTAATATAGTCCTTGCTTTTACTTATTCACATTTCCTCATTGTTAGTTATTCTTTATTATGGGTTGGACCCAGTACTGCTTTCCAGGAGGAGAATTCCCTCTTCCCAATTTCTGGGGATCCTCCTCTCCCACACACAGCTCACCCCATTTTTCATAGAATTTTGGAGAATTGGAGGGGCAGCCATGGAAAGGTGAGTGCAGGGGTGTTCACTTGATCCAGTTTAACTCTGGATCCAACCGTAAGTATTTCCAGGTGCCATTTGCTTGCATATTTACAACAAACCTTTTATGTTTTGTTCAATAAGATAGTAACTTATTTAATAAGTCTTCTGGTCCGTTCAGAAATGCTAAATCAGAGATGAAGAACCTACAGCCCTCCAGATTATGTTGGACTACAGTTTCCATCATCCCTGATAACTGCTTCTGATGGGTTGGGATGATTGGAATTGGAGTCCAACCACATCTGATGAAACCAACTCCATTAAAAATCCATGAGAAAGAGTGATATTAAGTGTCAACATTGAGCTTAACTCTATTGTCAGAAACGGGAAAAGGTCATTGTGCCACCCTGGCATTAGTCCAAAATTGCACTCACAGAAGATCAAGGCTAATTGAAGTGCATTGGTGCCGGTGGCCATGGCTCAGGGAGGCAGATCGCTAACCAGCTCATACTAGTGCAAATGCTGGTGCAAACATTGCTAGGATCAGGCCTCTGGAGTCCGTTCCAGCTATGAGTCCACTCTGGGTTTTAACTAAGGGTGACTTGCCCATTCATGTGTGGATTTCTTTTCAGAAACCGAGAATGAAGAAGAGAATCCAGAGGTTGTGGAGTCCCGCACCCCATTCTTGGGAGCCTGTGAAAGAAGCTTGCCCCTGGATGTTCAAGAAGGTGACGCCCATGGGAAGCAGGTTAAGAGCTACCTTGAAGGCAGGTGGCCCAGCCCTCCTCCTCTCATGGAAATCCTGGGAGGTGCTCCGGAGCGCATCGTCCACCAGGGATCCAGCACCCATGGCAAGGAGCGTGGGAAAATCCTGAAGGCCAGGCCCTCTAGCCTCATCACCCGCCAGAGGCTTCACGGGAGCAAGAAGCTCCACTGGTGCTCTGACTGTGGGAGAGGCTTTGGCATCTTCTCAAACCTGATCCGCCACCAGAGGACCCACGTGGGGGACAAACCCTACAAATGCCCTGATTGTGGGAAAGGCTTTGGCCACAGCTCGGCCCTTGTCACTCACCGGCGCATCCACACCGGGGAGAAACCGTACATGTGCAACGAGTGTGGAAAAAGCTTCAACGTGGTATCCAACCTTCTGCGCCATCAGAGGAGTCACACGGGGGAGAAGCCTTACCAGTGTCCGGACTGTGGGCGATGCTGTAGCCAAAGGTCCCACCTGATTACCCACCGGCGCCTCCACACAGGGGAGCGGCCTTACCAGTGCCTGGAGTGTGGGAAGAGCTTCAACGTCAGCTCTGACCTGATCAAACACCGAAGAATCCACACTGGCGAGAAGCCCTATGAGTGCCGGTATTGCGGGAAGCGCTTCAGCGGCAGCTCCAACCTCATCACCCACCAGAGGCTCCATACGGGCGAGAAGCCTTACATCTGCCCCGAGTGTGGCAAAAGCTTCACTATCAGTTCCAAGCTCATTGCTCATCAGAGAATCCACATGGTAGAGAAACCCTATGATTGTACAGACTGTGGAAAGAGCTTCACAGAAAGGCCCCACCTGACCAGGCACCAGCAAAGCCCCTATTGCCGGGAGAAACGCTTCAAGTGTGCAGACTGTGGGAAGTGTTTCACCACCAGTTCCTACCTTATCACACACCAGCGCACGCACACAGGAGAAACCCCTTACATCTGTGGGGACTGTGGGAAAAGCTTCACAGTCATCTCCAATCTTGCCAGACACCAGAGAATCCACACAGGTGAGAAGCCCTATCAGTGCCCAGACTGTGGAAGGAGCTACAGCCAACGTGCCCACCTGACAACACACCTGAGAGTCCATACAGGGGAGAAGCCTTATATTTGCTCTGACTGTGGAAAGAGCTTCAATGTCAACTCATCTCTCACGAAGCACCGGAGAATCCACACAGGGGAGAAGCCCTACATGTGTCCTGATTGTGGGAAAACTTTCAGCCAGAGCTCCAATGTCATCACTCACCGGAAGCTGCACCATGGGGACAGCCTCCTTGAAGGCCCCATTAGGGTCCTTCAGATCAAATAGATTTCTCATCTTCACAGCTGGTAACTGTTACCTGCCTGAGAGTCTAGCTGCAGCTAATGAATTTCTAAGTGGGTGTCTTATTTTACCTTGTCGGTGCTTTGGAATACCTGCAGTCAACATGTGTGGGGCTTCTTCTCTCTCCCAGAGGTTCCTGATCACCTGTTCCTCAGTGAGTTGCAAAAAATGCCATTCACTGCTCGGGGTGAGTGCCTGTGCTGAGCGAGGTGGGTAGATACACACTGCAGACTTGTGCCTCATCACCCACTAGTGCTTCCAAGTGATTGGAGCCACTTCCTGTGGGAAGGCCTCCGGGCAGCCTGTTCTGCTCACTACACATCAGAGAATTTCTACAGACTGGAAGCCCACATCCTGTGGTAACTGATCTTGTCTTTCTAACCAGAGACAATCCTGTGTGAGGAACCCCTCTCCGCTCAAATGGTCAGGGGAATTGCAGCCAGTATTCAAACATCATACACAATGCCGAAGATTCTCCTGCTCTGGGGAAGCCCTCAAGCCTCCAATAGACTACAGAAGTCCTACAACTTATTCCCATGAAGAGGCATTTATCCTTAAGCTTTCAGACAGAAAGTGCTGTGGCACCTTTGAACTTGTTTGAGCATCTGCCAGTTCTTGTTGTGGGGGAGGGATTAGGATGCAAAGTTGATTCACAACATCTGTTAGGGTCCTCTGGATTGGAAGCATGGCTCTGTGGGCCCTGGCTGGCTGGATAGCAGAAAGAGCAAAAGGGCATCCAGTGAGAAATGGCTTCCAGAATTGTGTGGCCTCGCTGTTTGCCATAACTAAAGACAACAAAGATCCCTTGGCATGTCATGTTAGGGGGAGATGGAGAATGGTCTTGGGTCTGGTGTCTGTCATAAGACAATAAAACAATGCATTTGTTAGTAAAGCTGTGCTTTCTTGGATAGCAGTGAGGTGTGTGTGGAGGGGGGACTATTGTAAGTGGGTTGCTTATTGTGAAAATTGAGTTTTAGAGCCACGTAGCATTTTTGTGGCAATTGTGTCTTTGGGACTGCAATACATAAACAAGATGAAAGGGTAGGCAACCCGTATCAGCCTCCCCAGCATGGTGAGCTGCAGCTGCCATGAGCAACTCAGGCTGGGGAAGGCTAAAGCCGTATGAGGGGCACGTGCTGGCAAGTGCAGCCGGGCTGAGCATCTCTGGCACCATGTCTTGGATGCCTCGGTAGGGGAAGAATCAAGAGTTCTTTGTAGGAACCGGGATGCAATGAGCTCACTAGTGGGCGAAGGGTGAAGGTCTATGAAGCAGGAGCAGCAAAGCAGAAGAAAGCAAAACGCCACAGAGCAAGCTTATCCCCTCCAGTTGCTGGGGAACTCATCAAATTTGGCAAAGGATAATACCAGCCTCTCGTACGCAGTTCTTTTCCAGGGCAGCCCACTTTGAAATCTAAACACACAAAAACATTCCTCTATCCCAGCCATAATCAAAGTTCTTCAGAAATGTTTGACAGTAAACTAGTCTGGGTAATTTCATCCCTGGCTAACCTTCATATTTGCACAGGCAGACAAGGCAGTACCTCTTTGAGGCTCCATGAAACACTCCTCTTTCTTGTTACAGGTGAGAGTGTTTACACAGTCTGCAGGGGAAAATCCTGAGACTCTAAGCTTCAAATCCAGGATTTTTGTGTACTGTGGCACCAGTTTGTACTGTTTGATCTGTGATTTTTGTCATGATCAGGGACAGATGCAACATGCATTAGAGTGTAATGTTTGTGTAATACAAAAGTGTATTCGGTTTACAAACATGAAATGCTTATAATGTTTGTTTAAAAAACAGTAAAATCATAAAATATCTGTACAGAATTATTGCAGAATCCCGGAATACTCAAGAATAAGGCAACAGCTGCTCGATACTGAGTGAGAAATCCTGCTCTCAGGGGGCTGCAACATGGCGAGATATTCTACCCTGCTATTTCCTGGGTCAGCCATCCCCAATTTGGTGTCGTGCCAGATGTGTATGTATTACAACTCCCATAATACGAGTAGCCACGTTTGGCGGGGATGATGGAGGTTGTAGTCCAATGCGTCCAGGGAACCCGGTTGGAGAGAGCTAACCTAGGCTCACGTGACTTCTCCCACGGTTTCCTCCAGCTGCTCTCCTGGAAGGCATCCATGGGTTAAATCTACAGAAATCTTATTCCTAGACGCGACCACGGAAATGGGGGGACTGGGAAGGATATGGTCAGGTCATCTTCCTGTCCTGCCCTATTCCCGTTCCGCACCCCTCTGTTCCAGTGAGAAATTACCTTCTGGAAATATTATCCCGCATTTTCTGGCAAAAACAAAAGGCGATGCCGATGGCAACGGCAGAGCTGTGATTGCAGAGACGCCTTGCAAGCGGTCCAGGTCTGCGTCGGAGGCAGAGGAAAACTGGAGGAGGCCAAAGGCTGCCAGGAGCCCTGGCCGCGATAGGCGCCAGCCCAGAGTCAGAGTTCTGTGCATCAGACCCTGGCAACATCCCGTCTCCGGTTCCGTCCGGATCGGGGAGGGACGCAGCGAGGTGATCAAGGCAGGAAGCAGAAAAAGGCACCTCAGGGCGCACACTGGACCCGCAGGAAGCATCCCTTCGTGTGCCGGCCTGTTCAGCGTTCTTGCGCCAGGACAGACCCCTGGATCATCTCATCCGCCTGATCTGCTCTGACCACTAGCAGCCCTCTCCCGGCTTTTCCATCACCTGCTGCCTGAAGCCTTTCAGCTGGAGATGCCAGGACTAAACCTGGGATCTAATGTAGGCAAAGCATGTGTTCTGGCCCTGAGTTCTAGGTTCGCCTTGGGAGCAGGATGTAGAATTACGATCCATTTGGAGCCAATTTAGGTTAGACAGAGCAGGCTTGTGCCCATTTTTCTGTTTGTACCAATATTGTATGTTCTCGAGTGGCAGCAGCTTTCCCAGGCTTTCAGTACAGCTCTGTTAGACCCTTTTAATTAAAGATACAAGGTGGACCCTACATCGATGAAGGATGTACTTTAGTACTTAGATAAGGGCTTTCCTTCATAGACTGAATTTAGAACTGTGATAGTGATAGCTTGTCTGGATTCACTGTGCCACTTATAATGAAGCAGCTCCCACAATTAAAATTGAAATTGGATTTGAGGCATTTAAAAAATTTTAAATTGTTTTCTTAAAATAAAAATGTAAAAGAAAGATAAGAATACCAGGGGATCTTACACAAATATAACATATACCTTCATAACCTGCAAATTCCTAAAAAAGACAAAAATTTCTATCTTTGCATCAGTCAGTACTTTGCTGAAGCTCACAAAAAAGATAATTACAGTTCTCTGAAACAATACATTGTCCAATAACTTCAGGTCAATTATAAATCATCAATATTTTATGAGCTTTCTTTTGTTCTAAAGTAGGGTTAGGATTTGAGGCATTTTTTCAGTTATGAGGACTAAAAGGAAGATCCTTTTTCTTTCATTTGATGAGGAAGAACTTTCTGATGTTTAAAAACCCAACCCCAAATGAGAATGGAGGCATACATCTAGACTAATACTAGAAAGAACAAAGATGTTTCAGGCTGAGGGCAGATTGGTGCCCCTGGTCTGATCTGCTGCTGGACTCCTGAGCTAGCTCTTCCATTCATACTGTTTCTTTCACATCCTTTAATCCAACCACATTCATATCTGACTATAATGCTAGCTGTTTCCCCACACAAAGCCTTCCTTTTGCCTTGTCCCTGCCATCCTGTCTTCTCCATATCACCACCTTTCACGGTTTGCAGTAGTGGGTCTTCTCACTGGAAAATTGTAGTGGAGTTTGAAGATGCAGCCTGCCATGAAGAATCTAGTGCAGCTTGTCCCAACCCAACAAATTCCAGATGTCTTGGACTACAATTCCCATCATCTCCAGCTAGTGTTGTCACTGTTATTCAATGGGTGATGGGAGTTGTGGTCCAAAACATGCCCCACTGGGTGTTTTTCAAAACCTCCACATGAAAGATAATTCCATACACTTTCCCAGAAAACTTGCATTGCCACAGGGATGCCTTCTCCATTCAGATCGCTGCAACATTCAAGTGCTGACTGGGTTGTATGAATTAAACAGCCCTTACAGATACACAATCATAGACAGAGTTTCCATATTTCATGACTTCTCTTCAACCACAGTAGTTTTCCCTGGAGCAGGGGTGAGCAACATGTCCTCCAATTAAAATCATCATCATCATAATTCACAACCAACATGGAATTTGTAGTGAATACTAGGATGGCCAAATTTAGCTTCATGGTGCTGTGTAGCCTCTTTGGAGTGCCAAGAGTTAAATTTAGCTTTAAACATGCTGAATGTAACCACTACAATATTCTGCAGCACCAGTAAGTTGTTTGGGCAACAAACCTGCAATTTTAGCCCTTTTTTGTAATGAGAGAGACACTGCAGACTATGAGCTGCAGTTTGAAAATCTCTCTTGTACCTGTGAGAGTTATCCACAGAGGCAGTTCACTGAGTGATGAGTTTCTCAAGCACTACCAAGCATCTCCAAATCATCTTTCAGGTAGACTGTTATTGCTGAGAAATATTCTTGGTTCAAAATCTACTTTTTAAAAAAAGGCCAAATCAATATTATTTTGCCTTTATAACAAGATTTGCACCCTTTTTTTCAAGTGAGAGCTACATTCCTCATGGGTAATTGTATGCAAGCAGTAAGCTGGGATCAAAAGTGGTGGGTCACCCCATTTCTGCCACTATCACCCCTGTTTCTCTTTCTCCTTTCCCATTCGGCAGGCGGCCAGGCAAGGGACAGATTGCACTTGCCAAAGTCTGAACTGACCGCATGCAGAGAACTTAACAAAGTAAGGTGCAGGCTGCCATCTGCTAGAAAAGATTTTGTCAGATAGGGGACACGGGATGTATTGTAGTTCCTCAAGACACTATTTGTGCTATTCCTGATCAGGAAAGAACCCTACTACAAGTTCAGGAGTATTTATAAATACACAAATTAACCTTGTGAGGCTGTGGGCCAAATATGATCACAGTGGTTTTTTTTAAGCCTCTCCCTACCTTATCATCATTTAGGGTTTAGATACATAAATTATTGCATCTTCTCAACATACAGGGTGAATTTTTGTTTCCCTTTTTTTCATTTGTCAAAGATCTGAAAGCCTCACGAAACTCTGCTCACAGTCTTATTGACTAGGTTAAAATGCACCCAGCCTCTTTTCTGTGTGCCTTGTCTTTCTAATCCTTGTTTTTCATGTTTGCATCCCACCTGTCCTCCAAGGAGAATATTCTGGTTTATCCCATTTAATCCTCAAACAGTACAGGTAAAACCAAGAGATAGTAATTTGACCAAGGCCACCCTGTAAATAATATGTGGACCTACAAAGAGCTGTCTGATCCTGACAGTTGTATTTTCAGTTCCTCTTCTAATTATGTTAATCATGGAGTTTGCCTTTTTAGCAGCAATGGCACACTGGCTCAACATTTTCATCAAGCTGTCCACGTGACCTTTTTCATGGTCATTGTTAGCTCAGCTCCCATCAAATCATGATTGAGGTTGGAGGTTATTTATCTATTTTTGTCCCAACTTGCATTTCTTTACGCTTGCCTACACTGAATGACATTGCCCTTCTGTGCCCGTTCTCTCAGTTCCCTTTGGAGTTCCTCATGGTCCCTCAGTGTGGTGTCATCTGCTGGCCGTGGATTTCATCCGTGGGGTCTCCTAGTCCAAGACCATGTCCACTGTGCCACGTTGGCTCTGCATTTCGCTGGGTGCTGCTTAGTGTAAATTACGTTAAACAGCAAAACTTTCACAGTACATCGTTATTCTTCACACTTCTATCAGATTCTCACTTGGTTATCTCAACTTCTGCAGATGCTTTCTCACCTTTGTATTATTTATTTGAATGTATACCTCGCCTTTCCTCCAAAGAGCTCATGGCAGCACACTTTATACCTCCTTTCCCCATTTTATTCTCACAGCTACCCTGTGAGACAGGTTTGGCCTGAGAGACAGTGACTGGCCCAAGACCACCCTTCAGCTTCATGCCTGAGTGGGGATTTGATTCCCAGTTTGGTCTGTTGTGTTCTTTCGAGATGACTAAAAGTATTCACAATATTTATGTGTGAATGCACTTTGACTCGTGAAATATTGGATCATTTCTACACCTTTCCAAAGCCTCTGTGTGCTGTTGTGGCAGTCCCTGGGCAGATTCTGAGGAATCCTATTTCTTTCAAAAGCCTGGTTGGTGGCTATTGTGTAATGTATGTTTCTTTGCACTTACTAAAATAGGATTCTTTTTGCAGCTTCAGGAGTGCGGAGGGGAATAAAAATGGAGTGGCAGGATGCAGCAAGGCCCCAAGCACAAGAGAGATTGAAAGAGAGTAGGGGAGATCATCCAGCAGCTCAGGTTGGGGCCAGTGAAGAGGTTTCAGGTGAGAGAGGTCCACAAGGGGAGAAACTGATACCAGATGAGGTGGCCACACACAAGCCTCGACTGGCACCCTGTGAGACAACTCAGCAAGAGACTAGCCAGATGGCTGAGGAAAATCTGCAAGATCACCAGAAATTGCAGCAGCCAGTTTCCCAGAAGACCGCCAAGTCCCGCAGGAAGCCACTGCTGCCAACCCGATGGGACCATCCCCAAACCCTTCAGGCTTCTTTCAGGAGAATAGCTAATGCCATCCACTGGCCTAGAGAAGTGAGGATGACCCGAAGCCTGCCAGGCCTCAACGGCAAAGCCACCCAGGCCTATCAGAGCTCAGGCCCCCCTGGGCTCCGAGTGAAGAAGCAAGAGCTGGTGGAGGAGGAGGACACTGTGAGTCTGGAAATATGGCGGCTGCGGTTCCGGCAGTTCTGCTACCTCGAGGCTGAGGGTCCCCATGAGGTTTGCAGCCAGCTCCAGGAGCTTTGTTATCAATGGCTGCAGCCAGAGAAACACACCAAGGAGCGAATCCTGGAGCTGCTGATCCTGGAGCAGTTCCTGGCTGTATTGCCCCAGGAAATGCAGATCTGGGTCAGGAAGCATGGACCAGAGACCTGCACTCAGGCTGTGGCCTTGGCAGAGGTGTTCTTATGGAGGCTGCAAGAGAGGGAGAGGTGGGACCAGCAGGTGAGTGGTGCCAGCTTGTTGATTTAAGCCTGGGAAACCCAATTAAAATGTAGGACTGTGGATGGGGGACTGTTCATGAATGTCTGTTTTGGGATATTGTTTCTCTGCTCTCCTAGATGAATAACCCAAGTTGGGATAGGACGCCAGGCTCATTTCCTGCCCTCTCTGGTTGCCCTTCTCAAGCCTCTCGCTGTGATCTAACCGTGTCCTTACTTCTAATTCAGGTGCCAAGGCCAGTTGAAAAAGTGGCTACTAATTACTCTAAGGCAGACCCTTTGAAGATGCAGCTGTACATGGTGGCCATGCAGGAGGGCGAAAGGATAGCAAGCTTGCTGGGTAAGGATTTATTGTGGGTCCCCCAGTTCTTGAGCTGGGGGTGGGCAGTTTAATGGGCAAATAAGATGGAATTCTATGTCGGCGTGAACCTAAAGTGGGTTTCAGATGTTTTGAACTGCAACTTGCAGCGTTGCCGACCATGACCATGTTGGCGTGGGCGTCTGCCGTATAGACCCTGTATGAAAATGGCGGGTCACTCACCCTCTGGCTCCTTGGACCCTCCCAGTGCAGCCTGCCAAGAATTGCTTGTGCTGCCTATCTGTGCCGTGGCCGCTTCATGATCAGTGGGTATCACTGTGCTCCGTTGCTCTCCTGGGCCACATTCACAAGCCCAAAGATGCTTGGGTCCAATGCCAAAATGGTACATCCTGATGGTACAGCCTGGCAGCATACGCTCTCCTCATTCTCCAGAAGGGAGGATTTTAATTGGCATGTCATTGGTCGTAAAAGTGAAGTTTTAAATGACGACTGGATAATTTCGGCTTTGGGGGAGTCTGGTATTCTGTGCTCCTTCGACGGGAGCGGAATCCTACTGGAGGGATTGCCCTGTGTGCCACCTCATCTCCCTCTGCTGCAGCCTGCTAGAACGGCCACTGATGGGGGCAGCTGAGGGAGGGGCCGGAGCTGGATCTCTCGTGTGTGAGTTCCCTCCCAGAGCAGGATCTTGAAGGTAAGTTGCAGAGGTCAGGCAGGGCTGGAGCTGGTCAGTGCTTGGCAAGAAGGCCAGCTGGGAAGCCCATGTGGCCACCCTGAATTCCATAGCAGAAGAAAGGTGGGGTGTAAATATAATAAATAGTCCCCAGTTAAGACATTGCTTTTCATCCCAGCATGTGATATATAATCATCCATCATATTAAGCTGCTGCTGTTTTGAGTCATCTATTCCATCATGGTCATCTATCCCAGCATGGTCTAGTCCAGAGCTAGACAACCTGGTGCCCGCCCCACCTGATGCTGTGGATGACAACTCCCAAAAATCCAAGCCAGCATGGCCAGTATTTGGAAATAAGGGAGCTGTAATCAAAAACAGCTGCAGAATACCAGGTGGTTAGTCTGGCTGACAATGGCTCTGTGGGCTATTAGATGGAGGCCTTCCTAGGCCCTGGCCCAGTTCCCCAAGATCCTTTTACCTGGAGAATCTTGAAACTAAATGTGGGTCCTTCTGCTTCCAAAGTATGCACTCGCTTACAAGGCCTCCAAGCATATTCACTTTGCGATTGTTTATTCTAGCAGGAAATGACCAAGTGAGTGCGAACAAGGAGGACAGTCTTGTACAGCAAAGAGAGCTTAAGCGGATGTCACTGGAGAGGGCTAAAGGAGGCATCTTCCTATTTCCGGAGATGGGAGAGATGCCTGGAAATCAGCTGCCTGCTGGAAAAATGTGTTTCCAACTTCCTGAGAGGGAAGAAACACTGGGAACTCAGCAGCCACCTGGGAGGCACCAGGACAGCTTCCTACAGGCGACTGTGAAAAAAGGCTGTCTTTGCAAAGGGGAGAACAGTTTAAATGGAAGCACTTTGTGTGAGGTGCTTGAGGTGGGAAAGAGGAAAAAGGCGACTGTGGACAGTAAGACAAGCTCCAGCCAGGGGACTGATCCTCTTAAAAACTTGAATGCTCGGGGGGGAAAGCAGCCATACAGGTGCTCCTATTGTGGGAAAATCTTCAACCATGCCTCGGCGCATCTGCTCCATGAGAGGATCCACACGGGAGAGAAACCATACTATTGTTCGGAGTGTGGGCAGAGATTCAGTCGGAGATCGCACCTTACCAGGCACCACAGAATCCACACAGGGGAGAAGCCACACACATGCTCAGAGTGTGGGAAGAACTTCAGTCGCAGATCACACCTTATAGAACATGAGAGAACCCACACAGGAGAGAAGCCATTTGCATGCTCCATCTGTGGGAAGAGTTTTAATTATCGGTCACTCCTTAAGGAACATGCAAGAATACACACAGGAGAGAAGCCATATAAATGCTCCGACTGTGGTAAAAGCTTCAATCGGAGAGAGAGCTTTATAATACACAAGAGAACACACACAGGGGAGAAACCCTATGAGTGTCTGGACTGCGGGAAAAGGTTCAGTCAGCGATCCAACATCACTGCCCATGAGAAAACTCACATGGGGGAGGGAAAATATAAATGCTCGGTGTGTGCGAAAAGCTTTTGCAACTCCACCAGTCTCTTTAAACATCAGAAAATCCACATGGAAGAAAAACCATCATAAACATTCTAGCATGGACTAGAAACTAGAAACGTGTTTTTAATTATCTGGTTTTATTAAAAGTAAGAGCCAGTTCATTTGGTACAGGAAAAAGAATGTAAGACCCTCACAGGACTGTAGCACTTCAGATTGTGGGTGGGAATTCTCATGACTGAATGCACAAGTCCTTTATGTGGACCTTCATGTGGTGAGCTAGCATCTCAGGAAGATAAGTTTTAGACTACCCTTTCTGGTGTGCTCAGTATTAATGTGCAAAGAAATTTCAGTGTGCAGGGCAAGTCAGATATGCAATTTTTCACACACATTCTGAAGTAGAACATCCCCAAGAAGTCTTGTATCAGCAGAGGGAAGGAATTGTTTCTAAACCAGCTCCTAAAGAACATACAAAATAGGAAATCTCTATAAATACTTTACTATATGAGTTGGGGAAAAGCTTCAGCTTGAGCTACTCACCATACTGTTTATTGTGGGGGCAGTGGGGAGAGGGCAGCAATGGGGCATTGACCTGCTCAGATTTGAATAATTAGTGTAAGATTGGATGCATTTTTTAACATCTTCAGTTCAGATCTTGCAGCCCAGGGATGACCAGCTGTTAGAAGTCTGCACACACATGCACCTTTCTGTGTCCTGCATACAAGAGCCCAAGCTGTGTTTGCTGCCCCCACAGTGACAGTTCCCAGCATAGTGGCCACCAGAAAATCCGGCACAGCTGCTGAACAGTGTTGATGTTTCCACCTTTCTAATTATGCACTAGAAAAACAAGAATGAATGCCTACAGCTGCCTTGAAATCCTCCTCACTACAGGCACTTGCCACTAAGTTACCTGTTACAAATATTGTTCTTGGTGCAGTTTCTATGAGTGTCACTTTTCCCCTCTGCGCATGGGGGAGCGTTCCAGCGCAGCCGATCATTCAGTAGTTGGGACGGGGCAACTGCTTCATGTGCAGGTGTGCAATCTGTTATCCCTTGTTCTTCCCCCATTTCTCTCTCGTTGTGGCCCAATGTTTGTAGTTTCTTCCACAGTTCCTTGTGTAATCTTGTACTTTATGCCACTGCTGTTTCTTAAAAGGATAGTGATCCAAAGCAAAACATTTTGTTGGAGAATACTTATTATGCATGGCCTGGTGCATTTTTGCCACGTGATGGTCTTTGCTTCCTGAAAAGGTTTCCCTACTTACTGTAGCAGTCAAGCTCTCTAAAGGGTAGAGACGGAGGGGTAGGACAGACTTCAGGTTTGTGTATCTATTTTACTTTCTTTGTAGAACTGTGAGATCCACCACCTGGAGTATGGTGCAAAAAAGACATTCACTTAGAATCAAAGCATTCTGAATCCAGGAATGTGATTAGATAGATTACAAAAATGAATTGAATTTATAGTCCTTCCACATACAAATCTACTGCTACTAATCTTGAGTGTTCTTTATTTTGGCAGTAGTTTCATTTAGGTTGGGAAGCGAGTAGTTTTCTTTAGTGAAAGCTAAGTAATTGGGAACCAGTAATGCTTGCAAATCTGCTGCAAATCACCAAGAGTTCTACTACTAAATCCAGACCTCCCTTCCTGGCCCGGTGCTTCAGCTAGGTTTCTATAACTGGCAATAAAAAGGGCAACCATATTTGCAAAAGCTCAGGCTAAACATACCTTTAAAATAACACTGTCTATTTCATCTAAACAATTCCATCCCACTTTTCCACAGGATGGTTGTCAGGGACATTTTAAATATGAAAATTCAGCAATAATGAAAACATGGGGAGCCACTCTGGTGTGGCGGTTAGAGTGCTGGACTGGGCCTTGGGAGATCAAGTTTTACACCCCACTCAGCCATGAAGGCCAGTGGGTGACCAGTCACTGACTCTGAGCCTTAGCCACCTCATGAGTGGTTGTTGTGAGGATAATGTGGAGAGGAAGAGAACCTCGTAAGCCCCCTTGGGTCCCTTGCAAGATGAAGAAAGACAGGCTATTCATAGAATGGAAAAATGCAACAGTAGCCCAGTAAAGCAATAGCCCAGCAAATCAGCATAAATAAATGTTTCCATAAAATATTCTGCTATACTAGTTGAGTTCTGCGCTGGGGAATATTTGGGGAGAAGCCCAGTCTGTCCAAAAAGGGATAGGCTCCACCTGAATTGCAATGTTTTCACTTGATGGTCCTCCCTCCCTCCCTCCCTCCCTCTAAGCACAAAGCTGCTTTTACACTTGATCTCCTGGGGAAAAGTTGACAGATGCTGGATGGTATCTAGTTTGGAACAACACAGTCTGAAGGCATGGAAGTGTAAATATTCTAGGTGAAATGTAATGAGCAACGATGAGGACATGCATGCTTGTTTTAGAAGCCAGAACAGAAAATAGACACCTCAAAGGCATTGAGTGTAATAGGAAGAAATAGCACGATCTCTGTCACCAGGCCCTGCTTTGGGTTTCCGGAAGGCATCGGGTGCAGCTGCTATGAGGCACAGCCTCCTGAATTAGATGAACCTTTAGCAGCAAGTTCTTTTTACATTCTGCACCCATGCAGGAGTTGTGTATATGTGCAGAGCTCAAGCAGCCTTCCACAAAAGTACTTGGGAACCTCCTTTATATTCTGTTCCAGTGCTAAGCTTCTAAACTTGGAAATTCGGTCCTCTTCCCAACAATGCCTTTTTGCATGGTTGGTAAGCAGAACCTGTCAGTTGCAGATTACAAGAATAACACCGAAACAGAAATTTGCCTGTGGAACACTGAGACTGTTCACTTCTGCAGGAGGAGATGGGCTAGTATGCCGCCCCAGTATGATATTGGGACGTGGCACATCAGATTGGCTTATAGGACCCATATTGAAACAACAACCTGAATCTCTGTTCTATACCAAAAGGAAAGAATCAACCTGAAAAAAAATCAAACCAGCTACACAGGAAGAGCATCGCTTATAACAAAATCCCTGCAACTTCTTTAAGAGCCCACTGAGACTCATTCATAAATGAGACACAGCTCTTTCTAGAGTTGCAGGTGGTCTGAATGCCCAGTGTCAGAATGGGAATTGCCATTGGCCAGTGATACTCAAGAGAATGGTGCTGCTTTGTCTCTGCTTTTTTTTTTTTAGTGAAAGCCCAAAGATCTCCTTTTGTGTATTAATATTAATTGAGTTAGGAGGATAATCAAGGAGAGGTAACTGGTGCTGTTAAAATCAGAAATGCTCATCAGTGTGCGTTAGGATAGTGGCAACCTTTCCTTTGCAGGAATATTTGTAGGTGCATCCATTCACTTTTTGGCTGCCAAAGAACCCTGCTAAGTGCTTTTTAACGAGGAAACTTGAGCAATTAAAAGAGTTTATTTGAGGAGAGTGGGCTTTTTAAAAGCTTATTTCCCTTTTTCGTGAGAGAAAGGGGGGAGGAGGAGACAGGAAAATCAGACCAGATTCCTCACTGCCATCTGGTGCTGCTTTAGGTCAACCAACCCTTCAAGTTGATGGTTTTCTTTCCCACAAAGCAGCAATCCTATACTCAGCATAGAATAGAGTGGAGCGGGACATGGATAGAGTGGGAAACGGATTCTTCCTCTTTGTTACCCCTCCCACAAATCTTCATGAAACGAATGAATTCCGTAGCTTAACTACGTGCTGTGCTGGGAAGCACGCCCTATTATATGCCCTAAAATCTCCCGCCTGTCAGGTTCATGGGATGACTCCAGCTTCTAGTACTGGGTCAGCCTCAGATGTTTCTCCGCTGAAGGTAGTGCTGGAAGGTTTCTTGGGCTAGGCTTTGTTCAGTGTTTTGTTTGTATTCTTTATTGCATTGTATTTTTAATCTGTTGTACAGCCCAGACAGCTTCGACTATTGGGCTGCATGTAAAAATAAATAAATAGGGGGTTTTGTGTTTTTTAATGTAAAAGAAAAGATGTAATGTGTACTTGCCTTGAAGCCATGTCTTCTGAGCTAAAAGCCCTGTTCAGCTATGCGGACAGGATGCTAAGCTGTGCCTAGTCAGTGATAAAGGTATTTTACCGTTACCTAAAAAAAAGCACGCTAATTCTCTAGGGCTGAACCTTGGAGATAAAAGTCAGTGCTGTTAAGTCTTGGCTTAAGTGCTGTATGTTGCAGCCCACCCTAGGCTACTTCTGACGTTCGCCATGCCGTGAGGGATGCGAATGTTCGGTGGCCCGTATGTGTCCGATCCCCAGACTTAGACTCTTTGGGAACATGACCGAGACGGCAGAAATCAAAGCAACAACACATAGTAGTCCTTCCAGCGCAAAGCCGGGCAGGCGCGACGAGTCGCAGCCTTCCGCCTCGCCCCGCCCGTTTCCGCGGATCTCCGCGCCGCTGCCATGCATGCAGCGTCCTCCGAGCAGCGGGAAGCGGCAGCGGCAGCCCCGCTTCAGCGGCTGCCAGCCGCGCAGTCCCTCACGCGCTGGGGCTGCCTGCCAGCGCCCGAGCCGTCATGGCTGAGCCTCGCCGGGCTGCCGGACCCCCGCCCCGGGGCGACCGCCCCAGCCCGCCCGCCCCGCGGGCCGCCTGTGCACGCAAGCGCGCCCGCCCGCCCGCGGCCAGGCACCGGGGCACCGGCGGCAGCGACGCGGCGGCCAGAGCGGAGGCGGTTGCAGCCCGGCCCGCAAATGGAAGCGGCACAGGAAGGGGCTGGATCTGCTCCGGGGGCGGCGGCGCGTGGCCAGCCCGGCGGACGAATCCGAGGAGCAGATCCGGGTGGGGAAGAGGCCGAGGAACAAAAGGAGCCGAGGCAGCGCGCCGTGCCCGGGCTGGCGGGGCTGCTCGAGGTGCGTAGCCGGCGCTCCCGCGTCGCCGGGAGGAGAGCGCGGGCCGCTGCCCGCCCCTCGAGGCGCGGGCCTGAAGGGCCGCTCAGGATCGCGGGCAGGCGGGCGGGCGGGGCGTTGCGGGGCGGGGCGGGGAGGGAGAGGGCGCCGCTTCCAGCCCTGCGAGCGAGCCCGGGCGACGCGCGGACCGCCGCAGCCTGGAACCGGCCCTCCCGCGGCCAGGGGTCCCGGCCAGAGTGCAGGAGCGAGGTCGGGAGGAGCCCGGAGGGGCGGTCTGGTGCTGTGCTGGCCGTCCAAAGAGGAAAGGACGGGGGCGCCGTCGACCCAGCCGGCCTTGCTTTGTGGCGGGAATTGGCTGTCACCCCGGGCACGTTACCTGAGAGAAAGCCGCGCCGAACCGTTTCGAGGAAAGCGGACATCGGAGCCCGAAACGCGGCTGGGTCTCAGCCCTCGAATACGAGCAGAATGAGGGAAATGGAGGGCAAGTGTTGCTCCTGAAAATATGCAGAGCATTTTCCCTGCTTCCCTAAATACCTATTGCGAAATGTCACCGTTCTGCTTCCCCGGCCTCATTTCCAAGCGTATTTCCTTGGAAGTAAACCCCAAGGAAATCAACAGATTTCATTTCCAAGTAAAAAATACTTAGGTGTCAGTTGAAGAGGGAGTATGGAAGTGCACTTGCAGGTCAATTCTAAACAAGCCTTCTTGAAAGGGAGGGACTCTCTGCCTTGTCCCCTGGACATTGCTGCTGTTTAGTCCCAAAGTCCTGCCCAATCCATCACGACCCCACAGACAACATTTCTCTAGGCCTCCTGAACATTAGGGAATTGCTTATTTGAATGTGCCTTAAAAAGGCCACTTCAAAAGTTTAGGTGGAAATGTAGCGGACCAAGAGGAAGGTTTTGTATAAAGCTTTCTGCCTGATGCTTGATTTCCCATCATGTTGACATGTGGGCACTTTGAAATGAGGCATCTTGCACATTCATTTTCATGGCTCTGAACCCCATTACATTTCTGAACATTTGAACCCACTCTGTCACACATGAAGACATGAATGGTCAAAGGCATTCTCTTCCCAGGTAATATACTGTAAAAACATCATTTATACTTATATGGGATTCTTTTAGTTACAAGCTGTAGTAGAAGAGGGCTAGAAACACTCCCCTTTGACTCCTGGAGAGCAGCTGCTAGCCAGAGCAGTCGCTGGACTACAAAGACCTCTCTGTTTAAGGCAGATTTCTGTGTTTGTGTACCTCCTATACAGAGGGAAGACAGAGGACCCCCCATCCCACTGCATCCTAGCAGCCACTCAGAACAGGGTAGCATAAAGATAGAACAAATAATCTTCATGATAAAGGTTTGCACACAGCTGTGAGCCTCTTCCTTTCCTGACATAAAAGTAGATAGACAAGCCCTTCCATCTGTGCATGGCTGTCTTTTCTCTAGGTTGAATCAGTGGAACTAAAGGAGGAAAAATGGTTGCCCCCCCCCCACGCTTGCTGTTCCAGATTTATTTTTAACAGCTCTGCTGTTACCGGTGATTCTGTTTGTGTTTACCACAGATCTCACTGGTTTAAGGGAGAAAGTTCTGCTTAGGTGAATTTTCTGAGAAGTGCTAAGAAACCCCGCACCACTCAACATTGAATGGTATGTTTTTTCTTGTTTTTCTTAACACATCTCCTTATATAATTTTCTTTTCTGCAGCTGCAAAAGCAGCTTAGGGCATGAGCTGTGGGTCAGGTTTGTTCAAACCTGACTTCAGCCACAATCCAATAAAGTGATTTTAGGAAAGTGGTGAACTGCCAGCCACAGCATTTGCAACAAAGGGATATTTTTTTCTGACCCACTTTACAGGGCTGTTACAGAAATTACTTTAAAAACTACTTTGGATACTAGAAAGTACTATAGACATATTAATGACGCCTAGAAACTTGTTTTTTTAATGAAGGCTGAGATTTGAAAGATGCCAGTTGTGCTTTAAATACCATGCACAGGTCTAAATAGAATCAAAATACATAGAGCACAGACAGTCCTTCCTTCATACAGGAAATCTTGCTCCTCTGGTTTAATCAGACCTCCTCCTTACAATCTGTTTTACTTCCTTTCCAGTTATGTCCCTGATTTTCCAACTACTTTTTGCTGATCCACAAGATGATAAAATCTATCTTTATTTCAGCAGGTTAGAGATGATGAGAACAAAGAAGAACTTTGTGAAAAAGGAAGAGATCCCTCTAGAAGAACAGAAAGATGAGACCCAAGAGGTTGAATTAAAGCAAAGCCTGGTGAAAGAAGAGATCCCCGAAGAGGAAGAAATCCAAGTGAAAAATGAGATTTCCCTGGAAAAAGAGAAGGAAGAGATCCTGGTAAAAGAGGAAGAACATGAACAGACTGAAAGGGGTGAGTCCCTTCTAGAACAATACGAAATAAAAGTTTTCCAGATTCCTGGAGATAATGATGAACCCTGTGATAGTGAGATACAAGGATATGTCCCAAAGAAGAGACTCTGTAAAGCTGTACCACAAGAGGAAGCTGCTGTGGAATCCAACAAAGCCACAGTCAAGAAGGGAGGAAGAATCTATAAGTGTCCTGATTGTGGAAAAATTTTCAAACGGTGCTCACCCCTTATCAGACACCGAAGAACCCATACTGGGGAGAAACCATATGTCTGCCGTGAGTGCTTGAAACGCTTCAGCGACAGCTCTGCCCTTGTGAAGCACCAAAGAATACATGCAGGAGAGAAACCTTACACATGTCCTGAGTGTGGGAAGAGCTTTTCTCAAAGCTCAACCCTAATCGCGCATCAGAGAATACACACTGGAGAGAAACCATATAAGTGCCCTGATTGTGGAAAGAGTTTCAGTGTAAGCTCTAATCTTGTTGCTCATCAAAGAATCCACACAGGAGAGAAACCTTTTGGGTGCCCTGTCTGTTTAAAAGGCTTTCTGGTGAGTTCCCATCTCATCAGACACCTGAGAATACACACAGCAGAGAAACCATACATTTGCAGAGAATGTGGGGAATGCTTCACTCAGAGTTCCCACCTTGTTGTACATAAGAGAATCCACACTGGAGAAAAACCTTATCTGTGTTCTGAATGTGGCAAGAACTACCGTGGGATTTCAGATTTGATCCAGCATCAGAGAATTCACACAGGAGAGAAGCCCTACAAATGCTCAGAATGTGGAAAATGCTTCAGCCAAAGCTCATGTCTTAAAAAGCATCAGCGAATTCACACAGGAGAGAAACCTTACATGTGCCTGAAATGTGGGAAAAGGTTTAACCGGAACTCACACCTGACTAGGCACCAGAAAACCCACACTGGATAATTCCCAAAGAATGATATCTGAAAGTTCATCTCCATAATTGCAGCCACTGTATAATGAGTAAAGTCAGGTATCTTAAACAGTTAGCCTTTCCCAGTTTCCAAAGGATCTTTTATCCCACCAGCCCAAACTGTTACTGCAGGAATTTAAAGGACATAAGATTTTGAATGAGTTTGGATATACTGCCATTCCTACACTTTTAAAATGTCCCTTCTCCCTTTCTGGCTCTGGCAAATATTTTTTCCAGACTGTATCCATTTTTAACTGGATCCTAGAATCATCTCTGAATTTTCTGTACCTTTTTAAAAATGCCATCCTATTGCAGGCATCTTCAGCTTAGTTCCTGAGGTGTCATGTCAGTTGTAAATTTTGAGACTCATGATCCTTCCTCTTCAAGGAAACCCTCTGGCTCATGACTGGTTGTTCCCAAAACCTTGGAAACTGTAATGATTGGTGGCAGAGAAAGAAAGCAAAGAAGACCATGAGTCCTTGCCCGATTAATAATCATACCAAACTTTGTGGAGATGCTGATGTTCATCCTTTGCTCAGCTCTGTGGCATATCACCCATTGAACCTGCTCAGTGTCTCCATACTGGCACACCGTTCAGCTGTTGGGAAACTACTTCTGAAAAAAAATCCCCTTTCCTCTGCTCATAACAGGTTTTATCATAAATAAAGAAAATAGGATTTAGTGTGACTCCTTGCTTCTGTGTTTTGTAATAACAAGCTATGGAATTTTGACTGCTTAGAACCTGTTACAAGCCTGCATCTCCTTAAGGCCAAGAGACTCTTGATTTTGGATGGCCTTTCCAGTCGATGAGGAGCCATGGCTTAGCGGTGGAGATCGCCCACTCTGCATGCAGAAGAATCCATGTTCAGGCGCTGGCATTTCCAGCTTAGTCAGAGCAGGCAATACTGAGCTTAATAGACCGATGTTCTTCTGTGCTCAAGTTCCTTGGCACCAGCACCTGTTCTGATACATCACATTGTATCCTAAGGAGCAGGAGAAAGACTCCTCTAGAGGCCCCGTCTGTCCTTGCTTGAGCACAATTTGGGCTGTCACTCTGCTTTGCCCTTAGCATCCAAGGTCAGCTCACAGTAACAATATCAAGAGCTTTAAAATGTCAATGTAATTATTTTTCTAATGTTTGTTTTTTAGGAGAGGCTATTCAGGATTGGGGTTCGATGCTTTTCAAGTGACATTAGAATAGTGACTAAGAGACAGAGATATGAATCAGAAAATCCTTGGTCTGTATCTCACCTCCATAGGTAAGGCACTGCTTTCTTGGTGTCAGCCACACACATCTGCAGCGTTGAGATAATAACACGGGCCTACAGTGGTACCTCAGCTCAGGAACGCTTCAGTTCATGACCAAATCGGGTTGCGAACAAACATTTCATAAAAATTTTGACTTAGGTCGCGAACTCTACATTGGGTGGCGACCATGATCGTGGCCATCTCACCCCCCCCCCGAGTGGGGGGATGGTCGCAATCGTACTGGGAGTGGAGGGGAGATGGCTGAGATCACACCCGTCTTTCTTGCACAAGCGCGCCCGTGACTGCACCCGTCCTTCCTGCAGGAGTTCAACCCCGATCTCGGCCATCTCCCCACCTAGCATGATCGTGCCTGCCTCCCTGCCCCCACGTGCCCGTGTTCGCACCCGTCTCTCCCGCCCATCGCATCGGGATGACAGGCACAGTTGCGGTCATGTTGCGGGGCAGGGAGATGGCCGAGATCTTTGTTGTTCTTTGTCACTTTGCTTCACATTTTTCTGATTAAAAAAATAGTTACAGAACAGATTAACCTCATTTACATTGAACCTTATGGGAAAATTTAACTTGGCTCACGACCAATTTGGGTCACAACCAGAGTCCTGGAACAGATTACGTTCGTGAGCCAAGGTACCACTGTATTTTACATGGGTGTTCTTAAAATTGTAGCAAAACATATGTGAAGTGCTTTGAATTTTCCAAAAGCACTCTATAGATGCTCAGTATTATTTGTAGCTTGAGTTTGGGATTGTTGTTATGGCTTCCACATGAGGAAACGCAAGTGGACTCCATGATGCATTCCACTTGCACTTTTCTGCATGCGTTCCTCTCCCCACCAAGTAATTAGATGTGCTTGAAGGAAACAGCAGGGATGTACCGCTGCTGTCCATCCTTTCTCTCCTGTACTCCTAACCATCCTGCAAGCCATTTGCACATTCGAGGGATAATTCTTGCACTGGGGAGCCTGTACTACTCATGTCAGCACTCTGCACAGTTTAGGATTCTGATGAAGTTTGAGCAGAATTTATCTGTAGGACACAGATCAGTTTTCTTCGACCTCCAGATGTTTTGGACTTTCACTTCCATGGTCAATGGACATGAATGCAGGGAGCTGTCATCCAAAAACTCTGGAGGGCACTGGGCTGGGGAAGGAAGGAGAGGGTTGTGCCCATGGTGGGAGGTGGGACATCCAAATGCAGCCTGAGTCTGAGCGACCTTCTGAGCAGAGAAACAGCAAGTCAGAAGGGGTATCCTGGGCCATCTAGTCTGACCCTGGCACATGCCAGTTCAGCTCATATAGTAGCCAACATCTGGGTGACCAGTCTTTCCTTGAATACCTGTATTGATGGGGCCTGTACCACCTCCTGTGGAAGCCCATTCCATATCCTTAGGGTCTTAGCTGTCAGGAAGTACTTCCTGACATCCAATCTAAAGTCTGGTTCCTTTGCCTCATTGGATCACATCCTTCCCTCCACCACAGGGAAAAACAGGTCATGACCTTCTACCTTGTAACTCCTTTCACATCCCTGTAAGTCACTATAAGATCCCCTTGGAGTCTCTTCGTCTCCAAGCTGAGAAGTCCCAGTTCCCTCAATCTCATCTCATATGGCATCCCCCAATTTTTGTGACCCCCCCCGCCCCCATCCTACCACCCTGCTCTGAGCTGCTTCTAACCTTGCTCTGTCCCTCTTGTAATGTGGAGCCCAGTATTGGGCAGAATCCATGAGCAGGAGCAGTACAGGTTCTTGTGTACCCCGAAGCAAGGCTGAGGGCTCCATGAGAAGGAGAGGTTCAGAAGCAGTGAGAGCCAGTCAGGAGGTGGGGCAGGGAGCTGATGGGGCACAAGCTGGCTCCAGCAGCAGCTCCGGAGCAGCCGGAAGACCAGGAATGCCCCAGAAAGAAGTCCCTGAGGAACAAAACTGAAGAACGCAGCTTTAATATTTGCCGACTCCAGAAGCATCCAGCATAGCATTTGGCCGTTTCCCTCAGCTGCCCTTGATGCCCCTGCCTGAGTTTGTATCAGAGCATTCTCACGTTAGCTGTGGCAAAAATGTACTTTTCTGCTTGCTGTCCTTTTTTTTCTGAAGAGGATATCTGATAGTTTTCTACTTCCAGTATAGAGAAAGAGTGTTGTTGTTGTTAAGTTGTTTTTTTTCCCCCCCTTTTGTTCTGGACGCCAAAAGAAAAAAGAAAAAAAAAGATGATGATGTGTTACACTCCCAAAGTATGTACAGACCCCTATGATAGCTGGGTATTTACTCTGTGTGGTGCAATCCTGTGTATGTTTACTCAGAAGTAAGCCCCATTGTGGTGAGTGACACTTACTCCTAGTAAGTGTATATAAGATTGCAGCCTTAGAATGTGGTTTTTTTTTTTTTTAGAAATAAATAGAATGCTTTGGAGAATATACAGCTTGTTGGTTAACTCTTCCACTCCCATATCCAGACCCTATTTTATACTTCTGATGTGTTGCAGATATTCCGGAAGGTAAAGAAGGAGTGTTGAACTTCAGGACTGTGGGCCAAGTATGACTCACAGTGGTGCCAGTCTGGATTCTCAAGTAGGCCCCAGCCCTTTCCTCAGACTGCTGTCATTTAGTGAGTTGCTGACTTTTGTACAGTTTTGTTTTCCATTCAAAAAGGTGTAATGTTTCTCCTAAGGTTTAGTTACCAACAGTAAAACTTTAAGCTAAGATATGGTGGTATTTTCTTAATATGTCAGGAAAACAAACAACTGTAGCGAGGTGGGGGACAAACGATCTTACGCTTCAAAGAGGCAAGTCTCCTTTGGCAGCATTAACCAGGTGCACATTGACGGTGATCAGGCTGGCTGGCGACTCCATTATTCCTCACTCGCTGCAGCTATTACTTCTTCTGCTCTTACGTGACATTTATAGCTGGCATTCTGAGCTTTATTGAGCTGTCCGTGGTGCTGAACTCCATCTTGAAAATAGGCTTGCCACCATGGAACACTGTGGCTAGCTCAAAATAAAAGCTGTGATGGATAAAGAGCTCCGCCAGCTGCTCCGGACAGGGGGACTTGAATGCCCAACCTATTATTATTTTCATTTCTATACTGCTTCACAGCCAAAGCTCTCAGGGTGGTTTATAACAACCCATAAAACAGACAACTAAAGTACAACAAAATACTGTAAAATCGGAAAAGTGCTATGAAGTGTAAACAGCAAAAGCAGACAATAACAAAGAATGACTGCAAAATCCTGGGATGAGTAATGCCCCTCATGTCCTGGGGAGGCCAAGTCAATGTTCAAGGCCTTGGAAGAGAGGGCCATCTTAACCTGGTGCTGAAAAGATGGCACATTCCTCACTAGCTGGGCTGCGGTGGGGAGCTTGTTCCATAAGTGGAAGGACAGCAAAGAAAACCTTCTGCGCTTCCCTCAGAGACGGCATTTGGAGGAAGGTCCCAGAGGGTGAGCGTGGTGTCTGATTTTATCGCTGTTGGGAGAGGCACTCTGACAGTTATTGTAGTCCTAAGTCATGTCAGGTTTTCAATAGGTTAAAGCCAGCACCTTTAATTGGTTCCAGAAGCATACAGACAGCCAATGCAAGCTTGCCAGAACCTGTCTGATGTGTTTGGACCTACAGGTCCCAGTTATTCATCTGGCTGCTACATTCTGCACCAGCCTCTGAACCATCTTCAAGGGCAAACCCATGTAGAGTGCATTGCAGTAATCTAAGTTAGAGATTACCACATTGTAGATTACTGAAGACAGGCTATCCCTGGCCAGATAGGGGTGTAGCTGGGCCACCACCTGCAGCTGATAGAAGCCGCTCCAAGCTGCTGTGGCCACCTGAGCCTCAAGTGACACAGGTAAATCAAGGAATACCTCCAAGCTATAAACCTGTTCCTTTCAGGAGACTGAGAGCCCATTTGGAACATAATGAATACCCTCCAGTTGGTCAAAGGAACTGCCCACCAACCACATCTCAGTCTTGTCTGGATTGCATTTCAGTTTGTTAGCCCTTTTCCAGTCCCTTGTTGCAGCCAGGCACTGGTTGGTTTAGCACATCCACAGCTTCACCTGCCGACAATGAAAAGGAGAGAGAGGGAGAGCTGCATGTCATCAGCATATTGATGGTGACACGCTCCAAAACTGATGGCCCCACCCAGTTTCATGTAGATGTGAAATAGCAAGGGGGACAGAACAGACCCTTGAGGAACTCCACCCTGGAGAGTCCACAGGGCTGATAGGTATTCCCCAAGCCTTCCCTCCAAGTAGTAGAGGAAACTGCAATGCAGTGCCCCTAATTCAGACAATGCAGGGCAGCCAGAGCTGTTTCCCTGCCAAAAGCAGGCCTGAGCACCAGCTGAACTGGAGCAAGATAATCAGTCTCATCCATGAGTGCCTGGAGTTGATTGGCCACCCCCTTCTCCAGAACCTTGCCCAGAAAAGGAGTATTTGC